AAACTTTTTAAAAAATTATTTTTTGAGGAACGATCATAGTTTCAAACCAAAAATCAAATATGGTTAGATGCGCAATAAAATTCTCTATCGAACCTGCTATTCAGCTTTTTGATACTTTCAAATTTTTTAAATCCGGCAGGGTCCTTTGCTAATACGTACTCAGTCTTTCATCTGAAATTGATCCTGACAAAAAAACTTCATCCAAAATATGGAGTAGGCATTGTTTTCAGGAAAATTGTGCAGCAAAGTGATCTGATTACTCATTCTCTTCCGACAAATACTAATAAATCACTCGAATTTGGAGAACACGTTCAGAAATGTCGACTATAAAGACGAAGATAAATCACTTTCCACACCACAAACAATATTTGGTTAACTTCAGACAACACTTTATATTCAGATATCGCATGTCAGTTAATTTGAAAACGATATTTCTGATGGGAACCTGAAACGAAACATATATATATCCAAAAGAGCACGGAAAAATGCACTAAAAACGAAATATTGAGGAAAGATCAAAACGAAACAACATAATATGTTACAACGTACATACATCAATAACAACAGGCTTAAACTTTATCAATGAGCGAGGTATATATTACAATTATTTATGTGAATTCAATAAAACCATCCGTTAGGAAAATAAATCACACGAGGAGAAACAAAGAAGGAGAATGTATAGTGTGGCTGAAACTGTAGTTTAGTCTATTTGTACTTATTCGTCAGGTGGTACTCTTTAAGACTTTCACATACGCCAGACATTTAGCGTAGATGTACACGAAACACTTACCCTCTACACACACACAACTAGTAACGACTAGTAGAAAAGCAGATGGTTTAATCGGAGGGATCTACTTTGGAGCGAAGATCTTCATCGCATGTCGTCCGATGTTGTCGTGAGTGACAGATAACCTCATTCTGCTTCAATTCTTACCTCTCTTTTCAGCACCAATCCAGACTGTTACCAATCAGTTTTATAGCAAATAAGACAATTATCCTGTTACGCAGGTAGTATGAATTTTATTCACAGAAAATTGGGACGATTGACAAACTAAACAACTTTGGGAATTTCAAACATACAATAATAACTATTTTTTTCCTTTTTGACGTTGAATTAGTTCAAGAAGATACAAGAAACTATAGTTCCTCGCGTTTCGCTGTCTTGAATAAAGGGACTTTTAACGTTTTCTTTATAAAGTATCCGCTGCATAAATTTATTGCTTTATTACGTGTAAGTATCCGTTACAGGCTGTCCTTGGTAAGCGTTTGAATTTGGATGTGGACCGTTAGTGCAACAAAGATAACCATCTGAGTATCTTGTCAGTGGTGTATCGGCTTTACCACAATACTCACATGTAATTTGTGCACTTTGAAAACGAGTGTTCAAATTTATATTTGCCATGTTTTCAATTTGACAATTAATATCATTAACTTTTTTGCTTATTTGTTGTAGATCACTATGTGGTTCGGCCAATAGCTTTTCAACTTGTTTAAAACCGTTATTGTGTAATGACTGGAAATTTGTAAGAAACTTTTCAAGCTCGGCTTTTGCTCTGGCGCTATCACCAAAGAGTTCAAATTTCTGTGCGACGACAAACATTTCTTTGTTCAGTCGCACTAGATCGGAGTATTTTTCGCACTTATAATTCAAGTTATCATTAAATAAATCAGGTATAACGGTTAATTCAATAAGATTCCTCCATGAATTAATAATGGTAGAAGCCGGTTTGCTACTTTTGTGTTCACGTACGTTCAGTGACAATTTTTTACTATCTGGTGAATGAGTCGATATAACGATGTATTCAATAGTTGGCATTTGAGCATTCGTCTTTCGTGCTGTATCAATTTTTGTGATAAGCTGATCGTTGGCTTTAGCAATACGATGAGCTTCTTTCATGACAGGGTTAGACTGTGCTGACATTGGTCTATTTGATCTCTAAACAACACCATAGGATAAAACAGTCTAGTTCTGAAGAATACAAATTATATAGAATTAGAGCCATAAGGGGAAATCTACGCGTTATTATAGAGATATTCTCAACTCTTGGATATTCTTGATGTATGGCTTTGATGAATCAGAGAGAAGTTGTGCGCCTACAGCATCTAAACTTGATTGCAGCAATCACGAACAAAATCCTACTCGGTAGAAATGTAGGCTCTCTAGTCCTATTAGGCGCAACCACACGTTGTCGAGATGTAACGCCGTTCACGGACAACAGAATATCGCCGGCTGCAAATAAATTGAGAGGACAGAAGATATATGTGCTACTAGTAATGGGTAGTTTTATTGGGTTCGTATAAGAAAAATCGTAATTAATACCTCGTCCATTGATAAAGTTTGAACCTGTTGTTATTGATGTATGCACGTGTGAAATATTATGTTGTTTCGTTTTGATCTTTCATCAATATTTCGTCTTTCTTTCGAATAAAAGTAAAGTAAACATTTATTTTCGCAGGGGAACTACGGTAACGCATTTATGATATTCAAACTTTTTAAAAGTTTTAATTAAAAGAATGAGAGTGAGAAAAGAATAATAACAGGCAAGCACTTAAAAAAAAAACATAAAAGGAATGAAATGTCAAAAATCCAGCACCAACTATTTCTGGAAATTTTTCGTGTTTTCATATTAAATCATAAGTAAAACCCGCACAGATAAATATCTGATATGTTTAGGGATGCTCTGCTTTAAAACTGACTACTTAGTTATGAGATATATGTATATATATACGTTATGGGATAAATTCCGCTCATGAGATATATTCCGCTTGTATTCTGACAGAATAAAGCTTATATCAGCTGACTACTGAAGATGAGAAACTAGTAAATAATAGCACTATGACTCCACATTTTATGTTATTTCCTGTGTCCAGTTTCACCGAACATATTGTTTCAAAATAGGATAGTTTCTTGTGTAGAGTACGTAAGGGAAAGGTATGTATCTAGTGTCAGAGAAGCAATACGATAATTTCCATTCTGACGGTGGGCTGGAATGTAATGGGTGGCGCAAAAAGAATTATAGACATAGTATTTTCAGATTTTCTACTTCTCTTTACGGTTCGTTGAGCTAATTTTTTCCGCAAAACATTCCCGATTGAATTCTATAGAAAAAATGTATTGACTGTATTATTGTAAAACCGGAAGGTGAAAAATGCGTGGCTCCCTAATTGAGATCGCTCTTTATAATTAAAGAAATAAAAACGATCTCAGTTTGGAAATGGCATATTCTGTCAATTTTGAAAAGTGATCCCAGTTTGGAAAACAAGCTTGTGGTTCCTGTTTTAATAAAATATAGATTATTAAACTGTATATAATAAAAATTGTATGAAATACATTGAGTGAAGTGAAAACTTCCTAGCTCCTACTTTATTAGAATATGGATTCTTAAACTAGTTGTTAGTACATTTAATAGTACCTGATACGATACGTCTTCCTTATTGGGTAATGCAGCATAAACAACTGACTTCATACTAAATTCATCCCACATATGAATACTGTAGCTTTGATAAAATCGTTTGACCTTCTAAATGTACCATCTGCATTCCAGTGTGGACTAGCACTGAGAATTTGTAATGATTTTCGTGATGAAAAACTCAAAACTATATACAGTTTAAGAATCTATATTTTATTAAAACAGGAACTACAGCTCGCTTTCCAAACTGAGATCACTTTTCAAAATTGATAGAATGTGCCATTTCCAAGTTCACCGAGATGCAGAAAAAATAAGTTAAAAAACGCGTGTTTTTATTATTCTTTGATTGCAGTTGGAAGAAAGAGAAGCTGTAGTCATCGTGTAGGCCTTAAAAAGCTCTATTTTCCGCTTATAATTTAAAAAATTTCAAATGATAGTTGAGGGTGTTTTTATTTTATTATTTTTTGCGAATTTTCTAAACAGATGAAAATTTTTTATTTTTTTCTTCATTCTGGTACTTTACACAACCTTCCATGTCATTTTTCACGTTTGAATTTTACAATAAAACAGTCAATACAATTTGTTATAGAGAATACAACGGGAAATAATTTGATAAACAAATTAGCTCAATGAAGTGTAAGGAGGAGGAGAAAATTTGACACTACTGAGATTATAATTGTTTTTTGCATTATTGAATTATGAGAAGACACACAAAATTTCATCACTATTCAAATACTAGCTTTATGTAATAATTATATATTAGAATTATGATAACAAAGAATTTCACGTTATAAATGCATACAATTACCGGACGAGGACTCTTTTGCTCTTTGAGATGCGACGCGATTTCTATAATAAATGGCTTGGAAGCGAAAATCGATACTCGTAAATTTACAAGCCCAATGCGAAAATGGTCAGACAGTGATACTCGATCTTCTATTTATTTTGCACTGCTAATGTGAGGTGCCGGTCAGCAGTGTTACATCGTAAGGGCGAAAACAGGTAGGCTTTTAGACATTTAGGTCCTTTGTGATTTAGACTTTTAGAGGTTGAGAGTGCTAGACATTTTTAGTTTTGGAAATTTCGACCTTTTGACTTTTCGACAGTTAGACTTTAAGGATTATAGTGATATAGACATGTAGACTTCTCGGCATGTACACATGGAGACTTTTAGACTATTCCACTTGTAGACATTCAGACTTTTAAAGATTTAGCCTTTTAGCCGTTTACACATTTAAACTGTTAGTCATTTAGACTTTCATACTCTTAGATATGTAGACATTCAGACTTTTCGACATTTAGACTTTAAGAGCTTTAAGTTTTTCTAGATTTAGACTTTTAGTTATTTAAACTTCTAGACTATTAGCCATTCGGTCTTTTAAACTTCAGGCATTTTTACTTTTTGTTATTTACACTTTTTCACATTTAGACTTTTAGATATGTAGACATTCGGACCTTTAGACATTTAGACTTGTGGTCATGTAGACATTAGCAGATTTAGACAGTTTTCAACAGTTTGATTTTTAAATGCGTAGACATTTGGACATTTAGACACTTAGCCGCTACGACATTTAAACTAGACATTTGAATTTGGACATTTAGCCTTTTAGACTTAAGACATTTAGACTTTCACTCATGGAGACGTTATGGGATTTAGACGCATTTTAACTTTTAAACGTGTAGAAGTTATATTTTAGACATTTATACCCTTAGCGATATTTCGACTTTTTGTGGTTGAGAGTGCTAGACATTTATAGTTGTTCGACATTTTGACTTTCGGTCATTTAAACATTTAGACTTTTAAACATGTAGACATTCTGACTTGTCGTGATTTAGACTTTTAGAGCATTAAATTTTTCTGGATTTCGACTTTTAGTCGTATTTATACATGTTGTCATTTAGACTTTTAGACATGGAGATATGTAGACATTCAGACTTTAAAACATTTATGCTTTTAGCCGTTTACACATTTAAACTGTTAGTCATTTAGACTTTCATACTCTTCTCTCTTACATGTAGACATTCAGACTTTTCGACTTTTAGATATGTTGTAGGCAAACTTGGAATCCAGGCAAATTCCGAATTTGCCTAGGCAAAATTAGAATTCTAAGTTTGACTAAGTCAGGCAAAATTAGAATTAGAATGGAAAAAACAGAGATCATGGCTAACGAAGTCACGAAATTGATGATATATGCTAAAATCATGCTCTTAGTTTCTCCTGTTGGGTAATGAATCATTTTGCTGAACAGGATACTTATCCACTTCACCGCGTAAAGGTGGCATGATTGTCGAAGTAGTAGGGTTTTTTGGGTTTTTTTTATAGAAGAAAAGTCATATTATCCACAACAAATTCACAAAAAGTTTACTAATTCATAACAGCAGAAAGCAAATCATCATATTTCAATTAATTTGTATTGAAGAACATTTTTTTAATCAAAAATTTTTACACTATGTACACTTTAACACACAGGACACACTATTCTCCCACATTCTGACAACCTCCTCGCTTTGAATGACATTTTGTCGAACATGATACATTAGCTTTTCTACATGGACAGTGCTTTGTGGCACATTTTGATTTACAATCACATGTGCTTCCGCTTACTGCCCCACGTACATAAAGTTTACATGCTTCGATAAACGAAATATCTTCATGAACATTAAGCTGTTTTAATTCTTGTGGACAAGCTGATTTTAAATCTACAAGATTCTCAACTAAGAATGCATTCTGTAGTTTACCGTATTGACAAACTAATTTGAAAACAAGATCACCTTTTTTTTTGTTTTTTTCAAGGATTAAGCAGGGTAAAAGTTTTGCGTCTGCATTTCTTCTGTATAATTCTCCGGTAGAAGAAAAGAAAGAAGTAAGTTATTTAGGTTTAATGTTTACTAATGATTCAACATGGACTACCGATATAAATAAAGTTTATTTTAAAACATCTTCGATAGTAGGATTGATGAAATATTATAAACATGTATTATCTAGAAACGCACTAGAAATTATTTATAAATCATGTATATCATATGGAGTCGAAATAGATTTGGCTGGAGATTTTTTGCAGGCGAGTTGAAGAAAAATCTTTTTTGCAAGTTACTTATTAGCATAAGGACATGACTAATTCGAAATTTCTCTGCTCAGGTCTTTTCCGTTACCGAGATAGGCGGCATTATCCGGAAAATAACTACCTTTCCTGCCGGCTACTTATAATCATACCTTTATGAATAAAATAATCGTAAGTAGCTCGAGTACAGTATAGAGACATGTTGCTAGGTGCGAGCTTACTTTTCATTGGTAGAAATAAGTGCGACATGGTTAAAAGTAGAAAAAGTCCAAAATTTGGAAAATTTGCGCGCTCTCGCCGCCCACGGAAGACGTTTTTATAAAATTACAACTGCCGGAGAATCTAAGTACAAAGCTACAGCTGCCTAAATAATCAATTTCACCAAAAAATCTTGCCTTTGAAGCAGTAAATAAGAGCCAGTTTTTAGGAAATAATGCCTCTTATCTCGG